TGGTTTTGTTTTTGTGGAGTTTCTTGATCTCTTTGTAGATTCTGGTTATTAACCCTTTATCTGTTGCATAGTTTGCAAATATTTTTTCCCATTCTGACGGTTGTCTCTTCACTCTCCTGACTGTTTCTTTTGCAGTACAGAAACTTCTCAATTTGATGCAATCCCAATAGTTAATTTGGCTTTGACTGCCTGTGCCTCCCGGGTCTTTTCCAGAAACTCTTTGCCTGTGCCAATATCTTGAAGGGTTTCTCCAATGTTCTCTAGTAACTTGATGGTGTCAGGTCGTAGATTTAGGTCTTTAATCCATGTTGAGTGGATTTTTGTGTAAGGTGTAAGGTAGGGGTATTGCTTCATGATTCTGCACGTGGAAATCCAATTTTCCCAGCACCATTTATTGAATAGACTGTCCTTGCTCAAGGAATTAGTTTTAGATCCTTGATCAAATATAAGTTGGCTGTAGATGTTTGGGTTGATTTCTGGTATTTCAATTCTGTTCCATTGGTCTATCCATCTGTTTCTGTACCAGTACCATGCTGTTTTGATTACAACTGCCCTGTAGTATGTCCTGAAATCTGGTATTGTGATGCCTCCGGCTTTGTTTTTGTTGTACAAGATTGCTTTAGCTATTCGAGGTCTCTTGTGCCTCCATATAAATTTCAGCACCAATTTTTCCAGATCTGAGAAGAAGGTCTTCGGTATCTTGATTGGTATTGCATTGAATCTATAAATTGCTTTTGGGAGAATGGACATTTTCATGATATTGATTCTTCCAATCCATGAGCATGGAAGATTTTTCCATTTCTTGGTATCCTCTTCTATTTCTTTCTTTAAGGTTTTGTAATTTTCATCGTAGAGATCTTTAACGTCCTTGGTTAAGTTTATTCCAAGGTATTTGATTGTTTTTGTAGCTATTGTGAATGGGATTGATCTTAGAAGTTCTTCCTCAGCCATGGCATTGTCTGTGTATACAAAGGCTGTTGATTTTTGTGCATTGATTTTATACCCTGCTACTTTGCCAAACTCTTCTATGAGTTCCAATAGTCTCTTGGTAGAGTTCTTTGGGTCCCCTAAATAAAGAATCATGTCATCTGCAAAGAGGGATAGTTTGAGTTCTTCCTTCCCAATTTGTATCCCTTTAATTTCTTTTTCTTGCCTAATAGCTCTGGCTAGAACCTCCAGAACTATATTGAATAGCAGTGGTGAGAGTGGACATCCCTGTCTGGTCCCAGATCTCAGTGGAAATGCTTCCAACTTTTCCCCATTCAATAGGATGTTGGCTGTGGGTTTTTCATAGATTGCTTTGATTGTATTGAGGAATGTTCCTTCCAAACCCAGTTTGCTTAGGGTTTTCATCATGAACGGGTGTTGTATTTTATCAAATGCTTTCTCGGCATCTATTGAGAGAATCATATGGTTTTTCTTCTGCAGTCTGTTAATGTGGTGTATCACATTGATTGTCTTGTGCACATTAAACCATCCCTGCATACCAGGGATAAATCCCACTTGGTCTGGGTGGATGATCTTTCTGATGTGTTGTTGCATTCTATTGGCGAGAATTTTATTGAGGATTTTTGCATCTATGTTCATCAGGGATATTGGTCTGTAATTCTCTTTCAGTGCTGCATCTTTTCCCGGCTTAGGAATTAAGGTGATGCTGGCTTCATAGAAAGAATTTGGGAGGATTCCCTCTTCTTCAATTGTTCTGAATAGTTTGAGAAGAATTGGAGTTAGTTCTTCTTTAAATGTCTGGTAGAATTCAGCAGTGAATCCATCTGGTCCTGGGCTTTTCTTTGTTGGGAGGGCCTTTATTACTGTTTCAATTTCTGTCTCAGTTATGGGTCTGTTTAGGTTTTCGATGTCTTCCTGGTTCAATTTAGGTAGGTTGCATGTGTCCAGGAATCTATCCATTTCTGATAGGTTTCCCTGTTTGCTGGCATACAAGTCCTTGTAGTAATTTCTGATGATTCTTTTTATTTCTGTGGTGTCTGTTGTTACATTTCCTTTTTCATCTCTGATTTTATTGATTTGGGTCTTTTCTCTTCTTTTTTTAGTTAGTTGGGCCAATGGGGTGTCAATTTTGTTTATTTTTTCAAAAAACCAGCTCCTCGTTTGGCTGATTTTTTGTAATGTTTTTCTTGATTCAATCCTGTTGATTTCTTCTCTGATTTTAATTATTTCTCTTCTCCTACTAGATTTGGGTCTGGTTTGCTGTAGGTTTTCTAGATCCTTGAGGTGAATAGAAAGCTCATCTATTTGGTGCCTTTCCAATTTCTTGATGTAGGCACCTATTGATATAAACTTTCCTCTTAACACTGCTTTTGCTGCGTCCCATAAGTTTTGGTATGTTGTGCTGTTATCCTCATTTACTTCCAGAAAGTTTTTGATTTCTCTCTTGATTTCTTCTATGACCCATTGTTCATTCAGGAGCATGTTGTTCAATCTCCATGTGTTTGCGTATGCTCTAGGGATTCCTGAGTTGTTCATTTCCAACTTCATTCCTTTATGGTCTGAGAAGCTGCATGGTATGATTCTAATTCTTTTGAATTTGCTGAGACTTGCTTTATGGCCTAGTATGTGGTCAATCCTAGAGAAGGTTCCATGTACTGCTGAGAAGAATGTATAATCTTTAGCTGTAGGATTGAAAGTTCTGTATATATCTGTTAGATCCATTTGGGCTATAGTGTCGTTTAAATCTACTGTATCCTTGTTGATCTTGTGTCCTATTGATCTGTCTATTTCTGAGAGTGGAGTATTGAAGTCCCCCAGTACTATTGTACTGGGGTCTAAGTCTCCCTTTAAGTCCGTTAACAAATCTTTTAGATAAACCGGTGCCCTGTAGTTAGGTGCATATACATTGATAATTGTTATATCTTCCTGTTGAATTGATCCCTTAATCATTATGTAGTGTCCCTCTTTGTCTCTCTTAACGGTTTTTGTGGTAAAGTTTATGGTGTCTGATATTAAGATGGCTACGCCTGCTCTTTTTTCATTTCTGTTGGCATGGTATATCTTTTTCCAGCCTTTCACTTTCAGTCTGTATGGATCTTTGTTGGAAAGATGTGTTTCTTGTAAGCAGCAAATAGATGGGTTTTGTTTTTTAACCCAATCAGCCAAACGGTGTCTTTTAACTGGACAGTTCAGGCCATTCACGTTCAATGTGACTAATGATAAGTGGTAACTTTGCCCTGCCATTTGCCAAAGATAAGTTCTAATATATGCTTTGAATTCCCTGTGATCTTTTGCTGTGAGGTTTCCTTCCTTGGTTTCCTTCCTTTACCTTCTTTCATATTGATGACCGTGTTTCTGTGTTTCTGTGTGTAACACATCTTTAAGCATCTTTTGCAGGGCCGGACGAGTGGCGACAAATTCTTTCAATTTCTGTTTGCTATGAAAAGTCTTTATTTCACCTTCATTCACAAATGATAGCTTTGCAGGATATAATATTCTGGGCTGGCAGTTGACCAACTTTTAAAAGTTTGGAGAGTTTAAAAAATCTAAAGAGTTGGCAACCCAGGTTTGCATTTTCACATGACAGCAACCCATTGTAGCTGAGCAGTCTATTTGCAGAGTCTCTGCTCACAAGGTTGCCACAGTGCTCACACAGCCCACACATCTCATGCATCTATTATGAGCCTAGCCATTATAGGAAACTGAATCTGAGATTCTGGGTATAAAGAAAGATAGAGTGAGAGGGAAGAGGACAATAAGGTCAGAATGAAGACCATGCAAGTGTAGATAAACTATTGGAGGAGCATGTCCAAAGAAAATCTGGAGATATAGTTAAAAATATTCAGATGAAGATAATGTACACTGAGGGGAAATGTAATGAAACTCATGTCATCAGGCATGTCACCATCAGCCATTTATTGGGATTGAGTAGCTCACTGTCATTTTCAGGACTTTAACCTCAAAGTCCTAAGTTAGTGATACTTAAGGATGGAAATCCAATGGTGGTGTTTAGATGTGGGGTCTAGTGAAAGGTCCTTGGGTCATTGAGATGTGGCTTCAGAAGGTAATTCTTACAAGTGCTGGTGCTGAAAGCCTGAGTTTGGGCCCAACCACTCTTTCCGCTAACTGGCTTACATGTGGTCCTTGCCATGCGCATGCTCTGTCATCACCAACTGCTGCCCTTACCAGATGCCAAACCAATCGAGCTGTCCGACCTTGGACTAGAACTTCCAAAACTGTGAGCTAAATAAACATTTTTGCTTTCTAAAGCTAGTTGCCTCAGGTATCTCACTGTAGCAATGGAAAGCTGACTAATACAATCACTTCAGTGTCTACATGGAAAGGATCAAAAGGAGAAATGCTGCAGAAGCAAAATTCCTAGCCACTAGAACCCTCTCACTCATTGGAGAAGGCCTTGGAGTTGAGGGCTAGACTGTCTTACAATATGGGCAGACCCAGGCTTTTAGAAAGTCTACCAAGATCCAGGTGAGCGCAGGGAAAGCCCACAGGGCAGGGGAGCCCTTGTTTCCCTTATGTGGAAGTTCCTCTGTCTTGAAGCCAACTGATTTCATCCAACTTTGTCTCTTTACCTTGCAGAGAACCAGCCTACTTGGCCACCAGGGGGCCCTGTTGCACACATTCAGAATCCTTGGGGCCACTTGAGAAGCTCTTAAGGACTTGTTCCTGTCCTTCAATCTATTTTTAGTGAAAAGTAACCCTGGGATTACTCCAGTCTTGTCTTTGCAAATAAGAAATTTTATACAAAAAAAAGAGATTAGAAAATAAAGGGTGATACAGAAATGGGAACGCTGGAAGCCCAGACACAGGTGAAGAACAGTTTCTAACCAGGTGGCCTTTTCTTTGGATATGACACTCACACCTGCAGTGCGTCTCCCTCTCACTTGCTTCTCTTCCCCACCCTCCCACCAGGCCTCCCTGTCCCTGCTCCCCCTCCTCCTCCCTCTGTTGATGGAAGTTAGGTCAACACGGGGGTGGAGGAGATGTTCCAAAGACTCGTCCTGGGGAAAGGACCCTGTGCGTCCCCAGCTCACCCATTTCGCTCTTGAAGGTGTGATCCTGCGGCAGGATGGAGTGAGAGTTCCGAATGCTTCCTCCTCCGACAAACCAGTTCACATTGGGGTTCCAGCGGTTCACAAAGCCACAGAGATGATTTTCTTCAAAGTCACACTCTGCGGGAAGAAACGCAAAAACCCACGTCATAGAGACTCAGTGGCACCCGGGCCTGCCCCGACTCACTGCAGGCTTGGAAATTCAGAGGATTCTCTCTTCCGTGCCCACTGTACCATCACTGCTAGGCAATGCTGGCCAAGAAGAATGAAAAAGATTCTTCAGTGGATCAAGACTTGAGCTCCCATGGGGCTGGCATCGTGGTATAGTGGGTAAAGTCACTGTCTGTGATGCCAGCTGCCCATATGGGTGCCAGTTCGCATCCTGGCTGCTCCACTTCTCATTTGGCTCCCTGCTAAGGGCCTGGGAAAAGCAGCAGAAGATGGCCCAGGTGTTTGGGTTCTTGCCACCCATATGGGAGAACTGGGAAAAGCCCAGAGCTCCTGGCTTTGGCCTAACCCAGCCCCCTATCATTACAGCCACCTGAGGAGTGAACCAGCAGATGGATCTCTCTCTCTCTCTCTCTCTCTCTCTCTCTCTCTCTCTCTCTCTCTCTCTGTAACGCTTTCAAATAAATAAATGAATCTTTCAAAAACATTAAACTCACAGTCATCCTCTAATTTGTGGCTCTTCCACTTCTTAGCCATGTGGTTTGCAGTGTGACTCATCACCTCTGTTGGCGTCTAGTTCTTTATGTGAAATGGGTACACCGTTCCCATTCCCAGCACTGACATGGGTGTGGACAGCTCCCAGTGCAGGGTCAGGTACAAGGTCATGCTCAAGACAAGCTATTTTTGTCAGTTGCCTCTGCTTGAAAACACTATTTAGGATGATGCTGTCAGCACCAGAAAGCTCCCTGCCACCCTTTCTTGAGCCTGGCAGCCCAGTCTTCTACTCACTGCTGCCCTGTGGTGAGCAAGAGGCCCAGAGTCAAGAAGCACGATTCCTAGAGGCTAAAAAATCCCCACTTTTCTTAACAATGAGAACTCAGAAAAGGCAGGGCGGGCAGAGTCCAGGCTATGGGCCCCTTCTGCAGTTATCGAGTGGAGAAGAGACAGAAGGAAAAAAGATGCCCCCACTCCCCCTTTAAACGGCAATGCCATGGCTGCACAGATACATTATTCCACACCCACAACTCCATTAGTGGGAACAAGAAACTCATAAACCAGGGCCTCCACTGACCCTCATAATCCTGAAGTCAAAAATAGGAGGGATGAGGGTACCCATCATTCACCACTGGCCCCTGCAACCACCCTCTGCCCTCTGCACCTGCACCGCCCTCCAGAGGTTGCCCTGAAGGGCTGGATCAAAGGGCTCTCCTGACTTCCAGCTTCCTGTGGTTTCACCACTGGAGGGTGGAAGGAGGATGAGATCAGGGGCTGATTCCCCCAGCGCCGTCTCTGCTGATCACGTAGATGGCTATGTACCTAGACAGAGTACAGCCCTGTCAAGTAGCCCTCACCATACGGCGACCGTCTCCAGGCTCCAGTAGCTCATCCTCCCTTGCCCCTTCAGACAAAGGAGGGTAACAGCTCCTGAGTCACCACTTGTACTGGGCCTGGGTCACAGTGCTATCCGTCCTGGGTGTAGCACTCACACCTTTGTGGTGTCTTTAATAAGCTCTCTTCAGATCACTCGGGTAGTGTATACCCTGTATCTACCTTCCCACCAGGATCCCAGCTGCCACAGTTATCATTGCGCTGACAATAGCAGGCATTGGGAATTCTCAAGATTTTCATTTCCACCTTTTCCATTGCAGTGTCTGCTAAGCAATGCCCAATGTGCCGTGCCAACGGCTGTCACAGGGCATATTAAAAAGCAAACTGTTCCCCAATGCTCCAAGCACTACTCTGAACACAGTATATGAATTAACTTACTTCATCTTCCAGACAGCCTCAGGAGGTAGGTACTATTATTAACCTCATTGGCAGATGAAGAACAAGAAAAGCAGAGACAGTGCCCAGAAAGAAAGGAGAGGTGAGAAGCAAGTCCACAGAGTTTAGCAAGATAGAAATGTAGACACCTTTTCTGTTATAAACAAACCAGAAGCCGCCAAATCATTTGGAGAAAAGCAATCAGTATTTCTTCAGGGCCCAACCCTGGACCAATCACCTTTATATCCACAATCTCAGTAGTCCTCCTGAGAGTCCAATGAGGGAAGCGTTTTGCGCCCATTTCACAGGTGAAGAAACAGAGGCTTAGAGGCTCAGTGAGTTGACTGAGCCAGCTGTGTACTGTCCATGCCCCACGCACATGCCACATGGAATAAAGACCGGGTGGAGGCGCAGGAAGGGAGCTTGGGCCTAAACTCACCTTGTCTTCAGGAAGCACTTTTCCAGTCTACTTTCTCTCACTTACATCAGAGACAGCATTGGAAGTCAAGACAGAGAAGTGAGACCCCAGGAATTAGCAAAGGCCTCCCCACATTTTTTGTTTGGAATCATTTTAGACTCCCTGCTCTCTTCCTCTGCACTCCACCTTCAAGTACTGTCAGTGCTCACAGAAAGAGCTTTTTCTGAAAATATGCATGGATATCAAAATTTTTTGCACCAAAATAAACACCTTTTCATTTCATTTCCTAGGAACGTTTTAAGTGCCCTGGTATGCAGACATTGCTTCAATAGCAGGCGAGGAGAAGGTGAGCAGGCAGTACAGTCCTGTCTTTATGCTCTCGAAAGCTAGCACATGAGAGACACCCACCTAACCCCACTCCGGTGGAATAAAAGTGACAACTGCCACTATGTGGAGAGGGGCAGTAGTATGCCAACAGCAAAATGGAGGGAAGGGGTTAATACAATGCCTGCTTTTCTGGCAGATGCTACCAAAGCCAAGGTTACAGCAATGTGGAAATTATTTTGATAAGAACAGGTTGAGGGTAAGGTGGCAACTCTGTTTATGCTGTTGCATCAACTTTGTTTTCAGGAACCTGCCAGTCCAGGTACATGCTAATGAGCCTTCCTATGCTAATAATTTGCCTATGCTAATGAGACAGGAACACATGCAGCATGTGTTCCTAACCACTCTAACCACTATGAACTCTAACCACTATGCATTACATGCAGTTTATTTTGTAAAATACTTGATCTTTGGGATTGATTCAATTAATTCTGGCAACAGTGGACTTTAGAAACAGATTCATGTTCTGATACAATGAAAACAAAACTCACCAAGACAGTAGCCGGTTGTCATCTTGATTTCAAAGAGTGCGATGCTGGCTGTGTTCCCTTGTCCTAGTACACCTTCTATTAAAATCTGCACAACACATGGGGAAGCAGGGGAGTTAGACATCTAAACACTGAGTTTCCTTGGGTTAGTTTTCAGGCAGCAGTCAGGAGCTGTTTGGGATTGTTAGTCTTAACTCATTGCTATTGGATACTGATCTCACTAGGGAATTTATTAAAAGAATGTGTGTGTGCAAGCACATGTGTCCACATGTGTGTGTGCACACATAAATAAGCACACACATGTGGACTCTGAACTCTGAGGAAGGTGTTCAGTAGAAGCTTGGAGTCAGCTGTCATCTGTTTTCCCAATGCCACCTTCTCGAGCGCTGTGGCAGAGCCAGTTGGTCATAGATGGTGAGGAAATTCATACTGAGAATCGTCAGGAACGGAAGGCAGAGAATTTGGGGTTAAAAAAAAGAAGTCCTTTGGAGGAAAAGGCAAGAAACAGCAAACTGACAGCATGGTGGGAGATCATCTGAGACAGAGGAGGCTCGTAAATTGTTTCTGAATTAATGAAAACATTGACGTTTTCACACAATGGACAAAGAGATGCCTGGATGACTGTCGGGGTTGTTACAATGCATGCGTAGTCTTGTGTCTGAAAGTTATAGCGTTTCCTTACGTGGTTTTAGCCTGATAGCTTGCAACTAAGCTGGTAGATTTGGGATGTGATAACCATTGGGAGGACGTTGTGAAACAGGAAACTCAGACGCCAATCCTCCTTCCCTCAGCTACTGCCCAGCGGAGAGGGACACCAAACAGAGAGGGGCTATGGGAGAGCGCGGTATTTCAAAACTCTCCCAAGAAGAGGGACAGGGCATGAATGGAAAAGTAAACTAGGGGGGCTGTCGCTGTGGAGCAGTGGGTTAACGCCCTGGCCTGAAGCGCCGGCATCCCATATGGGCGCCAATTCAAGACCCGGCTGCTCCACTTCTGGTCTAGCTCCCTGCTAATGTGCCTGGGAAAGTAGCAGAAGATGGCCCAAGTCCTTGGGCCCCTGCATCCATGTGGGAGACTTGGAAGAAGCTCCTGGTTTCAGATCGGCGCAGCTCTGGCCATTGCACCCATCTGGGGAGTGAACCAGAAGATCTCTCTCTCTCTGTGTCTCTCCTCTCTCTGTGTCACTCTGACTTTCAAATAAATAAATAAATCTTAAAAAAAAAAAAGTAAAGTGAACTATGGATGGAGGAAGTTTTTGCGATGATTCTCGCAAAACCTCACACCTCATGGCCACGAATGTCCAGATCCCAGCCTCTCTCCCTACTGCAATCCACACCCGACTTTGTCTCACATTCTCTACCTTCTGGTGAGCAATTTCCCTTTTGAAAAGGAAATAGAACATGACCTTTAAGTATCTTTCCTCTTTCAAAGTATTTCCATTTTTCCTCTTATTGCTGTTAATGCTTCGTTCAAAAGTTGTAGCAACCATTAGGAAGATAACATAGACACATATCCAACCCAATTTAGAAGGGTGCAACAAAATGATTAGAAATGAGAATATTCCCCTAAGCCTGTTAGAAAATCCATTTTCTTTGAAGAGGTTGGTTTAAGGCCCATTTAGGTTGTTACAGAAATTCCATTTAAATGGATGGGAAAGAAATCTCTGAAGAGGCTCTTTCACAGAATACACAAGCTATAAATTTACATTGCTAATATTCTTCTATGATTTGTCTCTTGTGAAACATCATATCCCAGTGCAGGACACAACTCACCTCAATGACACAGTTTTTCATAAGATCTCAATCAGTATAAACCACACATAATAAGCCCTGCACCTGCTTCCTAAACTCCACCTACCTTGAATTTCTTGGGACTGTTTTGTAAATCCAGGCTGGCTATGAGCCAGCTATCAGAAGGTTCCCTAGCCGACCAAAGCAAGCGATCAAAGCTTTCGTCTTCAATCTCAAGTAGAGGTTCAGCTGGCTGGGATCTGACAGAAGCTCTGACGACGCGGTATCTGGTAGACCAAGCGAGGCAGCTCCATTCCTCAGCCTGCAAGTCCGAACTTAGCAGCACGGTCTTTCTCCACCCTGCTTGGCAAAGGAGGTATCCACATAAATGTAATGGCCTGGGAAGAGAAAGGAACACAGGCAAGGAGTGGATCTTCTTCTTACAACTAGAGAAAATGCACAACTGCGGTAAACCTGTGGGCAGATGGGGCCTGTGAGCGCCTTGTGTCAACCCACTGATGTCAACCCTGGGCAGCTACAAAGTATGGCGGCACCGAGGCCACTTTCCCACATGACAACGCCAGGCTGGAGCAGAGCAGCGCTGCTTCTGCAGAGGGTGGCACATGCTCTCCATTTTGCCATCATCCCATCACTCCGTACTAACGACGGACATGGAAGCCAGGTGTCTGCTGCCTTGAGTGATCTCACACCAGGCCCACTTAGCACACTGCATTCACCTCCCTGTCCCCACAGGCAGGGAGTTTGCGAGCTAAGAGGCATGAGAGTCAGAATAACCTGATGGCCTCAAAGCTTCTCCTTCCAGAGCTCTCCTCATCTCTGATGCCTCAACCTGCATGGAGCTTACGTCATCAGTGCAGACTGAATGGGTGGTCACCCCAGCTTGGATCTTGGGGTGTAGCAGAAAACATTCATAGTAAGCCATGATTTTAAAAGTAAGAATAAGGCTCCTTTTGTAGACTTTTTTCTTTGACGAAATCTCATAGCTAGGGCAACTTAATGGGAAAACTGTGCAAAACATGCAGCACCCGGGCTTGGAAAGGAGTGGCCACTCTGGGATTGGCACTCAGCACATCTTCCACTTCCTCTGCCCTGTCTACTCCCAGTCCTCCTCTTCCCTGCTCCTCTCTCTGCCTTCCCCTTTAACCACCACCATACTCTCTTCCTCCTCTTCCAGTTTTTACCTGCTCTGTATTCTTCCTGCCTCCTTCCTTCTTTTACCTTCCTAAGGTTGGCAGGTAGTGGAGGCATCCTGCTTGCTGCCCCAGGATGTGCATCAGCATTTTGATGAAAAAGGGGCGGGTAGGCACTGAAGCCAAGGACCTAACCTGAGCCTTCCAAATCAGCTTCCTATGTGAGTAGTTCCACAGCCTGGAGTTGTTTGGGTCCTCGTGTCCTTTTGGACTGCAAACTCTGTGCTTGCTCAAAGACATTTGTGAATGGTATTTAACCTCTTGTCCCATCGTGTGGCTGCCCATGCAGTTTGGGCTCCCCCTCACTAAAGGCTTAGCAAAAGGCCTTGAAATGTCTCTCTGTCTTGCAATGGTGTGTCAGCCCCTCCCCACCTTGGCCCAGATGTCCACTGCAGCCAGGATCCTTGTCTCTGGCGGGCACTGATGGCCAGCTGCAGCCCGGCCAATGACTGTCTTCACATTTGGGGCACAGTTAGGGCATTGTCTTCAGGAAGCCTGGCTTGGGGTTTCAAGATCCAGATCTCCAGCTGGCAATCTGCTTAACACAGCAACCGCCCACTGGGTGAAAGTAACTGCTCTCGGATGTCAACCCAGGCACCCCCAGGGGGGAAATCTGGTCCTTGCAGCAACTGCCAGCACAGTGCCGCCATTGCCTCTTACATGCTGAGAACATTCAGCGAGAGCCAGGCTTGCGCTGAGTGTTTCCTGTGCATCTAGGGCGGGGGGACCGGCTGGGCTTAAAGTTAAGGGGACTCCTAATGCAACTCGCTTTGGAATAAAACTGTATCAGCACCATCCCCTCTCCTCACTTGCTATGGACCCCAAAGAAAAGACTCTCAGTTGACTAGTATGGGGTAGGGATGCTCTTGAGAGTACTTCATACCAGAGCGTTGGGGCTTGGGAATACAAGAGGAAAAGAAACAAAGAGAGTCCTAGCAACATTCACATTGCATACCAACTTTGCTCCCTTAGTTTCCATGGGATGCCTCCCCAGCTTCTCTTCTCTCCTTCTTTTTCCCGCTCTAAAGAGGAGCAACTCCATTCCCAGCAGTGGTTCTCAAACTTGAGCCCAGGGTTACCTGGAGGGCTTATTCAAACACAGATTGCTGGCCCTTCCTCATGAGTTTCTGGGGAAGACTCTGTATTAAAAAATCGTTTGAGAGGCAGAGAGACAGACACGAGATCTTCCATCCACTTTCATGCTCCAAATGCCCTCAACAGTGTGGGCTGGGCTGAGCTGAGCTGGAACAAGGAGCCAGGATTGCAATCCAGGTCTTCCACTTGGGTGGCAGAGACTCCATGATGTGAGTCAACACCACTGTCTTCCAGGGTGTGCACTCGTGGGAAGCTGGAGTCAGGAGCTGGAGCTAACCCAGGTATTCTGGTGCAGGATGCAGGCATCGGAACTGCTAGGTGAAATGTCTGCTCCCTGGTGCTAATTGCTAAGAGGCTGCATTTCTGAGAAGTGCTGGTCTGGAGACCACATTCGGGAACCACTGACAATGTCTGGCAGAGAAACAGGGCTCATTCGCTCGGCACCTCTACCTATCAAAGAAAACAGGCTACTGCAGCATGTAAAGGAGGGAGGAGAAAGTTCTCCTGAAGGTGAAACTCAAACTTCAGTAAATATGTATTACAGCAGGCATACAGAACCCATCCAATGGTAGTTGTCTTGACTTGTCAGTAAGTGCCATATGTGAAAGCTCTCTTGACATCACTTGTCACCATATCAGATTTTACATTAAACATATGCTCTTGTTCTCTTTCCAGAATCTTTGCGATCCACGCTGTATAAAATGCATTATTTAAAAATACCTTGCTATTAATGTATAATGAAAGTTGGTGCTATTATTGAGTGATTTTGACATCTCAGACATAAATGTTGGCTACTTCAATGACGGAATTTTGCATTTAAATTAAAGACTTCAAATTCGTTTTAGGTCATGCCCTATGAATGTGCCTATTAGCATCTTATAACACATGTGAAAGTTTCTCAACTCAACTAAAACTCAGTGGAATAATAAATTTTCTTAGGTCATATAACTAACCCAAGTGCAATCCACCTCCACTGCACTACCAAGTTGATAAGTTTTTTCTTTCCTTCTTTCTTTCCTTCTCTCTCTCCCTCCCTCCTCCCTCCCTCCCTCTCTTCCTTCTTTTTCTTTTCTTTCTTTTCTTTCTTTCTTTCTCTTTCTTTTTTCTTTCTTCTTCTTTTCTTCTTTCTAGATTTTTTATTTGAAAGGCAGAGTTACAGAGAGGGAAAAGAGATTTACTTCCATCTACTGATTTATTCCCAAAATGGGTGCAATGGCCAGGGCTGGCCCGGCTGAAGCCAGGAGCCTGGAATTCCATCCAGGTCCCAATGTGGGTGGCAGGGTCCAAGTACTTGGGCCTCCCCACTGCTTTCTTAGGTACAACAGTAGGAAGCTAGATTGGAAGTGGAGCTGGACTGGAAGTGGAGCAGCCGGGACTCAAACCAGTTCTCATACGGGATGGCAGCACCACAGGCAATGGCCTAATCCACTGTGCCAAACACCAGCCCCCAAATTTCTAATCACCTTTTTTTTCGCCCAGTCTGGATACAGCCCCAAAATCCTTCAACAATCTTCCTTGTTGCCAGACTAATTAATCTGTGGGGAAACTGAGTTGAAAGCATCTGTCATCCCTGCTTGGCTGCAGTGACTTTCATACTAGGGAGAGATCCTACCGACCTAAGGAGGGTGGAGAGTTCAACTGGAGGAGAGCATTATGGAGGTAATGTGCATGGGAAAGCCACGCAAACATGGGAGGTTTGCTCAGTTACAGAAAGAGCCCCTGCGGATAAGAAGCCCCTCAAGGTTCCTGGGCCCCCTCTCTCTCTCTCATCAGCATCAGGGCTCCTCTCCTGCCTTTGCTCTGTCCCCTCCAGGGCTCACGCTCTGCTCCGGCTGTGGCCGTGCTTCCTGACCTGTGCCACTGCTACTCACAGCCTTTGTTCATGCTCCTGCCCATGTCGGCAAGACCTGTGTACTGCCAGAAGAGTACGCGTCTCCAGGTCTCAGTCCACTGCGAAGCCTTCCCATTTACTCTGACCCTGCTACTCTCAGGAGCTTCCTCTTTCCACTCCACCGCTCTTACCCAGGAATTCTGGAAGCTAACTGGAGTCGCAATGGTTTTTTTTCCCCTCACCTTACGTGTGTTGCAAACTACTCCAGCATGAACTCCATTGTAATCCAACCTATTTAAAGTAACATAGTCTCCTTTTTTTCTGGGTAGAAAATGGAACATACTTAACCCTTGCCTTGGTCCTTTTCAGGTTTGTGTCTGCACCCTGGGCTGTTGGTGTGAGAAGGGCCGGAGAGGACATGAAGGTGGGTTAGGGGAGTTTGGGGGAAAGAGGACATTCTGTATTGGGCCATTGTGATTGGTGAGAGCAGCAACTGGGAGACACTGAAATAAACGTACAAGACCTGTTAGAGGAAAGGACTGGACTAGGTTTCCAGAGACGGCCTTTAGGAGTTAGTACAGCTTGTTCAGTGGGCTGGTGGCTGGGGAGTCTGTTACTACAACTAAAGTTGTGTGGCCCGTGGCAGGGATCACTGACCATCCTAAGCTCTGAAAAGAGAACGTGAGGGGTGGGCGTTGGCCACTTGTGGTGCCCACGT